GAAAGGGAACAATGGCACTCCTGTGCTCCAAGCTCCAGGTGGCTGTGGAAACCCAATCCCAAACCGAGCCTTGCTGGCACACAGAGTGCCGGGAACACCGAATGCTGCTGCCTCTCTCCGGAGACATGGGTCAGAATAGAGCTATTGTTCTAGATCAGCTAGACCAATAAATGCAATGAAGTAATTCTAGATGGCATACAGACTGGCTCAAAAACTACACACAGGCTGAATATCTTTCACTTTCATTTTTACACAATTAATAGCAAGAGAAAAGGTTATCTCTAACCATGATTATAAAATACAATTCAGTATCATCTCAGCACGATGGAGATGTCATACAATTCATGATGTATGAATATAACAGAAACAAAATGTATTTACATGTTATGGTTTAACGTGTGCAAATCCGTGCTAAAAACATAAAGCTGCTACTGTCACAATCCAAATAATCCCTAATGCCCAAGCTGTCCTCAATACAAAGATAAAAGACAATTCAACCAGAGAGACATGCAAAAAAGCAGATACATCTGTGGTGGCACGCACAACGCAGGAAACATATCAGGTCGAGTCCATGGCCTTGAAATGAACAAACATGATTCATTTCCTTTCACTGCTACAGCAGACAGTCATGAAATAACACGGCACTGACTTCAGAGTCACAGCTCTGACAATAGATCCTCGTCATGACACACTAAAGCCATGTAAGGCGTCAGAACACCACAGCCACAGCCACAGGTAGAAAAGGAGGTTTTTATCAGTTTGCTAACAGCAACACAGCTTATTCAACCACTGCACAGACACAATGAAAGCCACACACAGTGACGATAAATAATACATGCTCTTCCTTCCTCTCCCCTTTAAGGAACATGACAGGTTCATTTAACGGGTTCCCCGACAATCCTACGTCTTCATTTCCTCTTCTTTATCACTGCTCCTTCATCCAGGATTGATAATAAATCAATTTACTCATGTCTTCGGATAATTACAGCACCATTGCTGCATACTTACTCATGCATTCTCTTTTCTGTCACTCATTCTGATAGTCTTTTCCTGTCACTAAAATACATCCACATACAGCTGTATACCCACAGCTGCCAACCAATAAAAAAAACATGTAATTGACTGAATAATGTGGGAAAAAGATAAGACCCTGTTTAACAGGAGACTATGAGGAGGAGGACCCTTAAAATCTACACATTGAAGTAAAAAGATTGTGGTCTGCCTTAAGGCTTTATCTCCTCAATTGAATCAAACTAAGTGTAAGGCTGGGGCAGAATACCTCAAATACTGGAAGTCGTCAAATGAGCAGTTGATTGAAAATGCCTCTGTCATTGGACTGTCTCTGTTGACTGATGGAGTTTTAACAAAATATTGATTTGGGGGATGAAACGAGCAATACTTTGAATAAGAGGAAGACATGACATACAATCTAATAAATGCAACCTTCTGCAGTTAAAAATCTAAGCTCAGCAAAAACTGTATTTTCGAATAAAATAGTGCCAACAACTACTCCTGGGTCACAATCCACTCTTCAGATATTTCACATATATAGGAAACCTAGACTCTGCTTTGGGATCTTATTCCCTCTGACCCTATGGTGTTCTAATGTTTTTCACAGGTCTTGCTTTAGTTTTTTTGGTTCAAGAACCAGAACTATGCCAGAAACTGTTTCATCAGAAGGATATGAGTGTGCACTTAATAATAATGTACACATTACATACTGTGTGGCTAAAACCCAGTGTGGTTGAGTGTCTTGCCCTGGGACACATCAGCATGTACACTAGTGCAGCCTAGGATGAATCCCCAACGTTTCTGTTGGAATCTGAGTCACTCTACCTACTGATAGGTGCCGATAGATTCAAACTGTGCTAAAACAACCCAACAGAAACACAATAAGCCCGAACCTGGGGTTAAATGTAGAGAATCCGGCTCCTCTTACCAGGTCGTGATGACACAACGGAGCCTAATGTCCAAAGACTGACAGGAGAATGTATCCTTACTCGGCTTAAACATTTAGTTTTACTTATCCCAAAACATTCTAGATTTTATTTGGCTGTAGTAATATGCGGCAAGTGATGTGTTTATTAACATGGAAGTGGCCCATTCAGCACAACCTGACAATTCATGACTGTAAGTGTTCTTCAGTCTCACCGGCGACAAAAGTAGTGTTTTAACATTAAACTGGCTCGTAAGTGACAAAGGGTTATGAATTAGCGGTCGGTAAGAAAGAAATAAAAGTGACATTTAAAGTGTTAAATGGTGAGTGGCATCACGTCTCCGTTGCTTGGCTGCTTCTGTCAACAACGAGCACTCTGCTACGGCGCCAGTCCGTTACTGCCTCACCGACCAGAAACAAGCCTGCGGTTCATAACGTGACACAAACCACCGCCGCCGCCGCCACCACCACAGCAATGTCACTGTGTTTTTCACACATTACTCACCCGGGGAGACGAGGGTCCTCAATCCGCCGACTCTGTGGCGCAGGAGAAGGAAGGCAGGAAACTGATATGACGCCGATGTGGTTCAAAGTGTCACAGCTAAGTTAGCGGGTTAGCTTAGCGAGCTAACGATGATGGTGGAGGCAGAGATAGAGAGAGTAGAGGGGGGAGCAAGCTGTGTTCTCCTGTCGCCGAGATAAATCGGTAATACTGAAGTAGAAAGCCGAAGGTGCGGTTTATTTGGTTCTCGTGGATTGCGGCCACGAGAACACCCCGGTGTGTCAAAAAGCGGCGTCAGAGGAGACATCCATGTGAAAAGACCGTCAGTGAGAATGTGGGTTCGGTCATCGACAGCTGTGCGGTGTGAGCTCCCCCTCTCTACGTAGAGCTGCCTCTGTCTGTCTGCCAGAGAACTGAAGGAGATGGGAGAGAAGAGGAGAGAGGAGGAGGCAGGGGAGTAGAGTAGTATTGCTGCTGCTGTGACATGGAACACTATGACCAAAGCCGTAACTTCCTTTTTACAGACATCACATAGCTACATGTGAAAGGCGATATTTCAAATTAAATTCGCTTAAGTCTTGTATGTGGCGTAAATTAGGAATAAATAAGGAAGATAACAGACATTTTGTAGCAACATGTATAGACAAAACCGAGAGCTTACTAAAGCGGCCGAACTCCCAGTTTGAAATTTGCAACAGAATTGTGGCCAACGATTCGGTCCCACTGTATGGTCGGCGGCCCACTGGTGGGTCTTGCACGTACTGCAAGTGGGTTACATACTAATCTTTATAAAACCATATTTTTAACGTTTTTGGCAAATAATCTACTATAAGGGAGATATTGCAATGACACCCTACCATAGTATATTCTACAAAACTGTGTAATGTTTATTTTTATAGCTCTAACTCTACACTGATCAGGTTATGTTCTGAGATTATTGACCAACATGTTGGTCACTTGGGTGACACACTGACAACTGCTGCTTGTCTCAAAGAAAAAAAACTAATCCAGGAACATTTCCAAGTATTTGTGGAATAATTCACACATCAGCATATCATTTGTGTTCATATAATTATATATATCAAGTCCTTGTACCATGTTTTTTATATTCAGTAGTAACCACTCTGTTCCTACAGTTACTGTAGGTCATTACTGTAGTATACACATACTAACTGTGTAATTGTCAGACACTGAACATTGTCATGAATCAATTTCTAAATAAAAAAATGAAATTTTATAGAGTAGAAAAATGCAGGAATATAAAGTTATGTCATGGGAAATAATGTATATGCCAAGTTTTTAAAATAAATTGTTTATGTATTGAGATAATAAGATGTAATTAAAGTTTTGTCGCAGCCCAGCTTGAACCAGCCGAAATAACCTAACAACAGCCTGTCAGCTATGATAACAGGATGTCTCAGACATGTTTGAGTCTGGCATACTAAGTAGGAACAAGCCTTGAAAACCAAAAGTCATCATTCATGATTTTAGGTAGAGTTGTAAATTACTTATTACTTATTATTAAAAAAAAAAGTTTTACATGCACTCAAACTATGGAACAATGCAGTACAGCTGTGTTCAGCAGTGAATATAATAAGTATAATAATTTTATGGTTACTTTGTTTCCACGGAGTTACCCCTGAAATGCTTGTAAAACATTTAAGGATTTAAATCTCTGAATATTCTAAGTACTCTTGTATTGTCACAGAGGTGAACTGCATTAATGTTCTGGGCTAAGGATGCACACTTGGGTCCAGAAGGTTTTGAAATATTTGAGTGATTGTTTGTGTCAAGTGTTGGATTTGAAATGTAAGCAGTAAAACAGACACACGTCCATGGCAAATGTCCGACTGTCAACAGCCATAAACGTGACGTCAACAGTACTGCCCACCGTTACCTGCTCCGTTGACGAGCTGTTTAAAGGTCTTCACCGCAGACGGTTATTTTCAGCTATAATTCCTTGTCGGTAGAAGTAGCACTTTGGAATGTTAACACTGCTGCCATTGCTGGGCTGTGCTAAAACCCTGACATAGCCACTTACTTTACTTTTTACTTTACTACAAGGATGGATTTTTCTTTGACTCAGTGTGCAGGTCAGTGTCTTATTCCGAGGATGATTCACGGTGCCCAATATATGATTAAAAAAAGACGTCAGTCTACCCGCTGGGAGTTTCTCAGGCAAATCAGCTTGTGTCAGCAATATTATTATCCACTGTTCCACATGATAATTTAGTAAAAAGCTATAAATCATTTTTATTACTCAACTCTCTACCTGCTCAGATAGAAAAAATATAATTTATCCCTTTAGTTGAGATGTGAATTTTAATACGTCTTTAATTCTAGGTCAGATTATGAACATTGTGGAAGTATTCTGGAAGCAGGGGACTCAACAATAGTCCTATCTAAAGAAGAGGACTGTAGAAAACGTTTGTTTTCCACTGGGTTAGACATTAAACGTGAATCTTTATCTTTTGTCTTTTCTTATATCTCTAGAAACAATAAATCCAATGTATGAATTGAATCTAACTGATTTACTAAAAAGTTGCTGAATAAAAGCTTCAACTCTTTCAGACAAGTACCATAAAAGTTTTGATTTAAGGACCAAAGAAATTCTTCTTCAGGTTCTTGGTTTTATATTAGTATCACACATTCACCTCATAAAACCCATTAAAAGTTTACTTGTACTCTAATTTGAGAAGATAATTCATGCACCATTATCTTGCACGCATTTGTCATCCTTCACACAGACTCATTCATATTTAATGACCTCATTATCAAATGTCTTCACGCAGGGCAGTGTTTAAACACATGCATGCATTCCCACAGTATATCTTGCCATTCCAAACACTGACACAAACTGTATGTAACCCTGGTTTAATGTCTTGCTGACAAGTCAACTTGTCATAAATCCTGATGAGAATTCTGCAGCCTTTGACACCAGAAGAGCATTTAAAAGAAATATGTTTTACATTGAATACAAATACCTGATAACTGCAAAAACATTCCAAGCTTATTAGATTATTATAGTTATGTATTATAATTATACAGCGTAAGCTACTTGTACTTGTGTTGCCTGTTATACCACAGAAAAAAAACACAATGCATACTAATTTCAACACGGCTCCTGCTACTGTAACGCTGCCACTGGAAATTTCACACCTGATCTTAGGTAAAAGAGGACAGTGTCATTATGTTTTGTTAGCAATGAGCTAAAAAACTAAAGCAAAACATCATCAATTAGCGGTCGGTAAGAAAGGAAGCAATATCATCCTGTACAAGGAGCCATTGCAAAGGGATTCACCAGAGCAGAGCAATCAACCTTTATATATCTTCAAAGTTGTATTCAAATGCTATCTGTGTTTAAATGTTAGACAAAGGCAAACCTTGTTCAAACTGTTGTCTGTTGCTTCCAGTATCAACTTGACAGTTTTAAGTGGGTAACGGACAGCTGAGAACAGCTTACCTTGATTAGGAGCCAGGGAAACCTCTACCTAAGTGCTACCTAAGTGTTGTAAGCCTCAGGTAGTTGGGCAAAGTTCAATATCCCTAGAATGACTGCACTAATCTGCTCTGAAGTGTTTTTTGAAAGAAGTGTGTCATAAGGCGAGATATGTGTACGCCTTATAGTTTAAAAGGACTATATCTTCACCCATAAAACATTCATGTCTGTCTGTAACTGAGCTCACTCACAGTTTCTACAGTGAACTTTATACTCCATTCTGTTTACTTTATTCATGTAGCTGGCAACAGCAGTAGGCCAGTGCTGAAATATGAATGGGATATTGGTAAGAGACCTACAGTACGTCTAAATCAGCATTTTAATCAGCAAGTGTTGTTTCTCTAGTCACTGACAGACTGGACAAGGACACAGACAACTGCAGTAAAATGTGTTTCCTGAATGCAACCCCTCACGCTTCCTCATCCCTTAGACAAGCAGTATTCAGCTGATATGCCCCCGTGTTGAATCTGTATTGTGTGAAGATGCTGACAGGGCCCACCGTGGTGGAGTAGTGCAGATTGATAGATACGCCAGAGGCACGCTAACTTCAAAGGTGTTTGTAACCGAGAGACAAGCAATGCATTTACATGTACATAAACCTGAACCTCCCCAGGCACTAGATACAAGATAGCAGAAAGTCACACTGTCTGTAGTTATTCTGACAATCAGGACTAACTTATTTAACTTTATAAACTTTTGTTACACAGGTTGTTTTTTAACCCAGTGGGCTTCGAAACGTAACGGATATGGCAGTTGTAAGTTGACTTGTGGTTTTGCTAAAAATAAATCTACTCTGATCTCTGAGACTTTCTCAGCTCTAGCAAAGCTACAAGTTCACATATTCCTCAAAATTAACAACAAAGGTTGAACAACAGTTAGTCTAAAACGTTTACATTTTAGAAGAGAATGGGAATATATACATACATACTGCTAGGTAAAGTAGTAGAGGACCCCCAAAACGGTACCTCTACAATTCCCTTTCACATTATTGGGACTCTACAATTTATCAAAAATATAAAACTCTATCATGCTGCTTTAAATAAATGAAATGATAAAAATTATCAAAATAAAAACCCATAGTCCTGAGTTAAGTTTAATTTTAAATCCTGTTTAAACACACGGTGGCAGCAAAACTACAAGTAACCAATATATCAGTGGAGCAGAAGTTAACGACCACGCTGTTATTGTAGTTGTCATTATTGGTAATAGGAAATCAAACATATATGGTATTAATATTATTACGAAATTATGCTAAATACATTGATTTACGTTAAGTATATTGGCCGGTTTCAAATTGTGTCTAAAACTGAAATACAAAAAAATCGTGGACATGCTATTTATTTTCCCTTCGTAATTTACTGAATTTTAAATGTAATACAATAAACTGTTGTGCTATTAATGCTATAGTATAATCTCAAAGAACATTACAGACGAATGTTAATGGAAAACAAAAGATAAATAATGTTTATTTAAAGTCGCCGGAAGTGAAATCTTTCATGTCCGGGTCAGACAATGTTTACTGTTTTATGGTCTAGCTAAGTCTAATTTTTGAGTGAAAATAAGTTTTCGTGGCGTTATTTAACGACGAGTTTATCGTTTTCTTACAACAAATGGCCTCCCAAATACCCATAACCATCAGGGCGCAGCCGGTGGCGGCCAGCTCTGCAGCTCTGCGGGGAAAGAAACGTCCGGGCAGTCCGGCGGTTTCAGCCGTACCGCAGTCCACCGGGAACGGCAGCAAGAAGAAGAAATCCCCGCAGACGGTGATACCGACACCACCGAGTCAGGTGACGACACACGCACACACTGGTGTTTGTTTGAGCTAGTCACATAGAAATAATGCATTCTTTAGTCTGTTACATAAACATTACACTTTATGAAAATACACCTTCTCCTTATCTTAACTACCGTAACTCAATTTCCTAAATATTACTTTAAACCAAATCTTGACCTTTCTTAAACAATCATTTTAATGTGTATTTAACTGCTGTAGGACTTTCAGTCTTATCGCTATTTTCTCCTACCTCCTACCTCGCCTTTTAGGTTCCAGTAGTGGAGACCGTGGCAGAGGTTAAAGCAGTTGGATCGTTAGACAGCGGTCAAACGGTCACCTCAGAGCCCGCAGCAAAACCTCCCCCATTCAAGGACCCCACGTTTATGGTGAGCGTCTGTGTCCAAACACGGCTAAATTTATCTGCTTGTTCGCCTTTTTGCTCAGTGTCTGTCCTCTATTTTTGTCTCAATCAGCATTCTGGGATTGGAGGAGCAGCAGCAGGCAAAAAGAACCGGACGTGGAAAAATCTGAAACAGATTCTGGCTTTGGAGCGGACGTTACCCTGGAAGCTCAATGATCCCAACTGTGAGGGACTAGTACAATTTTTTTTTTCACACACGAGACAGTGTTCTACATTTTTATTCACAATAAGGTTTATACTTAGGTAATACCTTTGTTGTTAAATGCAAAAAATAATACATTTATTCACAGGGTGTATTCTAATGATGGGTTTCAGTTGACTGATACATTTAAATGGTTGTATATAGAGTTTGTCATAAGGGCTCATTCAAAGTAAATCGTTAAAATTTAATTTGGTCCTAAGAATAAATGTTCAGATCTTGAAACGGGATTGTATAAAAATTGTTAGCCTCTCAAGAAACAAAAAACATTTAAAATATATTTGTTTCTTTTTAGATTACAGCATCGACGCCCCTCCTTCTTTGAAACCAGCCAAAAAATACTCGGACATCTCTGGACTTCCGGTGAGTCTCCAGTTAAGTGCTGTAGGTCACTCGGTGTAAAAACACAACCTGAATAATTATGTCCTCCTTAAGGCAAACTACACAGACCCTCAGACCAAACTACGCTTCACATCATCTGAGGAGTTCTCTTACATTCGCCTTTTGCCCACTGATGTTGTTACTGGTTACCTGGCGCTACGGAAGGCGACATGTATCGTACCCTGAATGCAGACTAAGGACTGGACCTTAGTATCGAATCAAACTAGAGCTGGACTCGAGTCTTTCTTACACGTCTTTGAGAACATGAGCAGCTGAGATGCTGATTGAGTCTTAAATGTTACTGTGATAATCAATTCTGTACTCGTTTATTTTGTCTTTTTGATAAACCAACCATCAATTAATAATTGCTTTGATAGGAACTGAAATATAATGATACAGGTTATTTATTAAAATGTGATTCACTGTGTCCAATATCAGTGTCTGTTTTTCAACAACACACATCTGTATAAATCCATTTCACTTTAAGAGTGACATTTCTGTGAATAGTTTGTTAAAAGAACAAATGTATCTTCTGTTTTTAAGGTGACAAAGTTCCACATTTTATTTGACTTAAAGAAGAATTAATAATCACATTTTTTCTTCTTTCTTTGTTCATTTTTACTTTTTAAACTCACGTTTCTTCTTTGTGTTTTTCAGCACAAACTTAGCAACATAGCAAAGTATTGCCTGCAAATGTAGCTGGACTACAGCTGGATTAAAAAAAAAAAAGAAATTCCCAAATGTAAATGTGATATTATTGTAAATGTAATTTGTTTCTTCAACAACTGCATTTGACACAGTGTTTAATTTCTCCCCAGTTTGTGCAGTGATGGCATATCATTAATCTTACTTGACATCAGAACAGAGTTATTTCCACAGTATATTTCATGCCATTTTTCGCCAACTTGATGAATGAGTTCCAGTTCCACTCGCAATAAAGACACGCAATAAAATCACCAAACCCCCAAACCTGAAATCTCAGATTGAAAAAGTGTTTAGAATAACATAAAGGATACGCAGATATTTATTTTGTTATTTCTTTTAAGATCTTTTTTCGGAATAAAAACACTAACGACTGACACTGTTACAAGTTCCATTGACACACAAGTCAGGCGCTTGTGCATACGACTAAGACCGTGTAGTCACTAGTGGAACTTCTCCAGCCCTGGCCTGTGGTGAAGCTGATGAAGGCACTATAGTATATCTATGAGAGACAGGCCAGCCTTTCCATTCCTTCTGTTGTATCAAAACCTCAACGCAATGATTAATGAACAGCGCCTGGGCTTTCTGCTACACAAGCACACGATCCAATAGAGAGTGTCTGTGTGCAGCTGCAAGCATCTCTGTGTCCACCGCAGGACAGCAGAATCACGTTCATCTGTTTGCTGCCGTGGGAATAACGATGGAAATATCGACTAACATACGGTATATGAGCTGTTTGTCATCGGGTGACAACCTGCGGACCACAGATCCTGCAGGTTCACACCTGTCCATGCAGTTACGCCATTTCACCACATGAGTGCGCCAAAACTCTGCTCATACCGGTCTTGCAGCGAGCGTTATTTCACTGAAGGAGTGCGAGATCGAGAGGGTTTAACTTTCAATACAAAGTCATTAAAATACAAACAGACCCTCACCCCTCAAAAACCTTGTTTTTTGCCTACTAGCAAGGCAGCTAAAAATTTAGTGTAAGATGTAAAATCAGTTTACTTTTCTGCCTTTGCCAGACTAGTTTAAAACCGTAGATGAGAAAATACTCATATGTGGCTCAGGACCCATGGGTTAGAGAGCCGTGACCTAGATTATATACAAATGTTAAAAAAAATGACCATTACAGATTTTGTCAATGTAAAGGTTAAACTAAAAGAATATTTGTTCACATTGTCTGGGGGAAAAACATGCATGAGGGACATTAATCAAGAAACTATGGGGGTCCTGCTGTAAGTGTGTGTATCTGATCAAAACCATTGATACAAGAAGTGTCCAGTCACATGTCTTACTGCCATCTGCCTACTAGCTAAACTGATGATCACTAATAACTGGATTAATGTCAGCACTAACAAGTGAAGTGTGTGCCTTATTATTTATATAAAATCCACATAATAACATATTATGAACACTTCCATCTCGACAGTATTTCAAGCTGACATTGGTAAAAGTGTCAGCTGACAGCAAACCTAACAATACATTACAAACAGCATATGAACAACACACAGACTACGACAGGCCAGTGACAATCATTACTAATTTTAATTCAGTCACAGGGATGGATGTAAGCAATTTAGGCCTACAGCTCAACCATATAATAACCATCATTAAGAAACTGATTGGGGTGTGTTTTTAAATGACTCATCTGTCTTTGATGGAAGGTTTGGCACCTCGAGCACTGCACAGGATGTATTTTCCTGAGAGTGAAAACACCAATCAACGAGTGGCTCCTCTGTCGATTTTGTTTGCATGTTTATACTTTGCTGAACTTCTCTGGGCAACTTTCTGCTGCACCAGGGAGACAAACTCTGTGAACTAATGTCATCTTGGAGCTCATTTAGGTGCAGTCTGCCCTCAGGTTTTTGTCACTGTCACATTTTAGTGATGATGGAGATGGCATCTGTGCTGTATAATGCCTACAGACAGTAATTATATGGCTTCTCTCACTTTCCCGGTGCATGCAGTATTTCCAGGACTACTTTCCACCAAGGCCTTTGGACCTACACATGTACGCTACATTCAACTTGCAAAAGTACTTTGGGCAGGAAGTCAAAAGTCCACCTCAGATCCATGACTTACAACAGTACAACCAGGAAGCTGTGATTGAACATCTGACTTTTGTTAAACACTAGAATTGTCAACTTGATAGTATGTTTAGTAGTCGTAAAGTACTGTATATCAACAACAACAACAAAACAAGTTTAAAAGTGTATGTGCTATAACAGTGCATACACCACTAATACTACAAATCCTGCCACTATATGGAGCACTGCGGACCAGATTTGGCCCCTGGGCCTGAGTTTGACTCATGTGAGCTTTAGGCAATACAACTCCAGATTAAAAAAAATTCAAAATATTAAAAATGAAGATAAATAAAATCAAACGTTCCTTATTGTAAACAGAGCCATCTGAACAGACAGTGAGCAGAGCTTTTTAAACCAACATCCATTTCAGCTCAGTATTTCTTAACGTGGCACAAATAAAAAAAATATGAATATTTGCTGTGTACATAATACTCTTGTGCTCCCAGAGGGTCCCCACCCCACATTTTGGGAAGCACTGCTTCTAAAATGCGTGATCATTGAGAACTACAGTATTATGTCAAAGAAGAGATATTAGAGTGGCTCACCACAGACTCTAGTAAACTGATCGATGGACTATCTGTAGTACCTGCTGCGCCAGCAGGGGGAATTTCATATTTATGTTTCTGACCTATCGGAACAGCAGAACAAAAGCTCTACTGGCTGTTAACAAAATACACAATATATCAGTCTGAATCTGTCGAAAAGCAGCTTCAACAGACACATTTATTCTTAGTCTTGTTTGTTTGAAACACACCTGAAAATATTTGTTGAAAACAACACACTGAAGAAAGAAAACCACTTCTGCAGTCCCTTTATTGTTACCGCCAACACAAGTCCATGCTTTTCCCTTCAGGAGTCTTCAGAGCCATGAAGGCCATGAACGAGCGCTCCCTGGTTCTCTCATGTAATCTTGGTGAACTGCTCATGCATCAATCAATGAAAAGCCTTTAAGTCTACACAGTGAGTGATCAGTGCAGTGATGAAAACTCGATTTTACTCAGGTTTAACACGAAGCCATTGTTTTATATACGTACCTTCGTAATGGTGTATTTGTACTTAATTTTTAATGTCCTTAACTCAGTACACTTTCACACACTGGATGTTCATATAATAGTAGAATCAGTGTCACATTAAATGTAATACACATTTGGATTTAATTAAGTCAATTACACAACTGATATTTGAAAACCTGCAGAAAATAAATAATGGAAAATTTAAATTTCAATATATTTTATACATCCAAATATTTTTCTTCTTAAAATTAGAAATGACTATGGGAACTCCAGACTCCTTTGGAAATATTTGCCAGTTTTTGGAATCATCATCATTCCAAAAAACAAACAAACAAACAAAAAAACAAATCCCAAAACAATAATTACAAAGTATATGAAATGTTCTATTCATCAAGTACTGCTTTTCCAATAATACATGGATGCACAGAACTAGAACCTAGGCAGCAGAGTAACTGCAGTATTCTTCACAAATATCTAAGGCCAGCGAGTAAAAGCCAGTAGCGCTAATGCTAATGTTAAAAACACCAAGGAAGAAAAGAAAGATAGAAGAAAAGAGTGGTCACAGCCTCAAGGAGGGTGTATATTAGTCCGCTGTCCGCCTGTGATGATGTGATGAGATACCAGTTGTTCTTGGGCTGTTGGAGGTCAAACGGCACTTTGTCATCAGATAGCTAATCAACTCATTCAGATATCATTACACTGGGCTAAATCCTTGTTAATCCCACTGAAGATTCAATCAGTGTCCCGTCACAGGTGAGCTTGTCCCCGTGTGTGTGTATGTGTGTGCATGTGCTCTCATGTGGGCACCAGGGCCAGAGAGAAAGGTAATTCTTCATGTTGATAGACAATGATTGTCCTTCAGTGGGCCACATTACCGTCTCCTCTCTGTCCTTCCCTGCTGTCCTTTCCTTCCTGTCCTGTCCACTTCTATCTCCCCTCCTTTCCTGTCTCCACTGCGTCTCGGCCGTTGTTGGCTGAAGGTGTAATACTCTGCTGTGGTCCCTGACTGATAAGTCTTCTGTCACTCTCTCTATCCTTTTCCATCTATCTTTGTCCATGTACTGTATGTTTGGATTACCGTCCACTCCGTCCTGGCCCGCTACACACATATGTGAGCTGTCTCTGTAGAGAGCAATGAGGGCGCTACTGGTTCACTGAATCCTGTCTTCCCATTGGATGCCTTGGCCTCTCTTGACAATCAATGTTCAATTTACTTAAGTTGGTTTTAATAAATGATACATCAGACATAATATATTTAGGAAACTAAATATATAAAGTATGTAGAATACATATATACTAAATGTATTCAATTCAATTCCACTGAACCCTACAGTTGTAGTTTTTAGCAAAAGATACTCAAACCTTTGACCAGAGACTATATCTAGTCAAACCCAGATCTATCTATCTATCTATCTATCTATCTATCTATCTATCTATCTATCTATCTATCTATCTATCTATCTATCTATCTATCTATCTATCTATCTATCTACCTATCTATCTATCATCCATCCATCCATGTTCTCTTCTGCTCAGATTATCTGTCTCCTTCAGAGCAGACAGTCTGGTGAATCCAGTCTCACCGGACAGACAGAAATGTAATAGAGAGGATGTGACCCCACAACCTTCCCTGCATCAGATGGAACCAATCTTACCTTTCTGAGACAGACCATCTATTCATACCTACCATGGTGTGTGTGTGTGAGTGTGTGTGTGTGTGTGTGCTGGTGTAATGATAGTGCTCATGCAATCACACATACTGCTGGTCATGCAACTCAATGCTTCACTGTGTTTAAAAACCATTACATGTCAGCCCTTGATTTGTATGCTTTCAGGTGTGTGAGTGAGTGTGTGTGTGTCACTGAAAGTGTGATAAAACATCCGACCAGATGTTTTATCACCAGCTCAGCAGCAAAAGCCTATTCTCCGTCTGATGCCTGTGAATTTCATTAAATTAAATAATCGTTTTTATGTCTTCCTTTTATAAACACATACAGTAACCAATGACGTTTTTACTGTTACTTTCATAGTACCGGAGAAAATAAAGAAAACACCAAAGTAAAATTACATTTTAAATAAAGGCCAATTATTGGCAGTAAAATCCTCTGTACCAGAGCTGCTGTATAAAGTGAGTTTATAATGATACTACAGGAGCAGTGGGATT